ACACACACACACACACACACACACACACACACACACACACACACACACACACCTCCTGGAGAGTCTTCTTGATCTGGCCAACTGTTGTTAAGGGAAGTGTTCTCCACAGTTGATTTCTTAGATGTTGCGGGTCTGTTGGTGTTGCTGATCTCACCGGTGCATTCTTTCTTTTTAAGAATGATCCAAACAGTTGATTTGGCCACACCTACTGTTTTTTCTTTGTCTCTGATGTATTTGTTTTGATTTTTCAGCTGATTGATGGCTTGCTTCACTAGCTACATTTACATGGACACAAGTAATCAGATTAAACGGCCATTCGGAATAAAAATGCGTCGTGTAAACATCCCATTCGGATAATTCTGACCCGATTCAGCTCGATCCGAATGAATTTGTAATCGGAATGAGAGGGGWGGTTTATGCCGATTGATAATCTGAACAGCGTGCATGTAAACACTTAATCTGATCATTTTATTCTGATTGTGGAAATCTGACCTGACTGAGCATGTCTGCTGACTTTCATCCATCAGTTTCTGCACTTTTGTGGAGGGAGGGAGTTTCCGGCAGCACAGAACGTTTCCTCCTGTTCTCTCATTCAATAAAGAAGGAAGACAAACAGCCTGCACCGCTTCGCAAAAAGAAAAAAATAGTCCGCAGCCGTACCAGAGTGCAGTAACGTCTCCACCATTATTAAAAGCTGTCACAGGTCCATTCTGAGCTCAGAAGCTGGTTGTTTATGTTCATCACAGAAGTAGAACCTTTTTCCCTGTGGGTTTTATAAGGGAAAGTTGGCAACTGTGCATGTCAGTGCTTCTGTTCTRAATAAAAGCCTGGTGCATGTAAACACTCGTCATGATCGGATTGTGCCCATGTAAACAATACATTCAGATTATTTAATGTGAATGCATTCCAATCCGATCAAAGGATTTTGCGCATGTAAACATAGCTACTGACAGCTCTTTGGATCTCATATTGAGATGTTAGCAACAGATTCCAAACTCCACACCTGAACTAAACTCCAGACCTTTGATCTGCTCTGTGTGAATGGACTAATGAGGGAATAACACTTGGCCATGGTGATGCAGCCAATCTTTCCATATCTTTCGGTCTCTTTAAAAAGAGGCAGGCACATCTACAAACTGTTGTAATTCATACATGGTTCACCTGATTTTTTTTATAAATACCTTCAAATCAAAGCTGAAAGTCTGCAGTTAAAGCACATCTTGTTTGTTTTATTTTAAATCCATCATAGTAGTGTTTACAGCCAGAAAGATGAGAATTGTGTCGATGTCCCAGTATTAGTAGACCTGACTGTTTTTATATCAAAAATAAATCATTGCACTAAAATAACTTTGTCTCTTATGAGTCATTGATACCCCATCCCAAGCCTGAATAAGGGACAAGAGTTGGAGTGGTTACATAAAATAAATAAATAGATCCAAGTTTTTTTTAAGTCGATGTATTTTTGTCTCAGGCTGCTTCAGCAAAGATCAGGTTTATCTGGACGGAATTCTGCGAATTCTTCGCCATCGAAGGTCCATCAACTTTAAGATGTTGACTTCATTAGGAAAGGTGAGTAGTGCTTCAGTTTACTTAGGTTTTTGTAACTTTTACACCTACGAGGTGGACTTTAAAAGCTGTGGGCTAAATGTTTAGCTGTGTGACGTTGTTCAGTGAAACTTTAAAAAAATCAGGAAAATAAAAACCTAGAATTCCTTAAAGGAATACACATGTCCCTCTGCATTTCAGACCAGAAGTTAAAACTGAGACAATGTCGAGAAATGGCATAAGAGATAGCAGTCTTGGTCAAAGCATGAAAATAATCTTGTTGCTCATTTGGTCAGTTCTGAGAGTTTATCTTGTGTCAAACTCTATGCTACTGCCACATCAGATTTATCACAATGTCAGGAAAATTGACTGAGTTAATGCTTATCTTCTAAAAAGTTCATCAAAGTCTGTCTACTGGTTTATTTTGTAAACAAACAAATGAACAAGCACACAAGGGGCAGAAACCTGTGCCCTTGTTTTTAACGCCATTTTAACTCCATCCATGCACAGTAGATCTGCACATGGATGCTGCTCCTTCCTGTCTGTTGACCAATAGGAGAGGAGCTGAGCCAAGAAGCTCCGCCCACATTATTTACATAACGAGGCAGAAATGTTAAGGTAAAGTAAAAACAGGAGATGGAGAAATGTAAAAACAACACATGAAAATAAAAAGACGTAGGAAAATGTATTTTAAAAAACTATTTAATCGTTTAAGAGACAAATTTATCTCCAAGTAAAAGGAAAAATAAAAAACATATTTTTAAAAACAGTCAAATATAAAT